TACTGAAGTAGCAACGGCGGACGACCCGTATCAAAGTTCAGAGTATAACAGCATTGAAGTCGAATGCAGGTTACTCAACGCAAACATGTAGGAGACGATGTTGACGGTTGCCGAAACTTCGACGTTGACGTGAGCGTCAAACAGCAACAACAATTTATCGTTGTGAGGGACGATGTCGCTGACGTCGTCGGATTGACGGTACAAAGGATAGCCCCTCTCGACGAAAGTGGTGGTAAGTTGAGGTGGCTTCGGGAGTCACTTCTTGCATTGTTTCCTTCCCTCCACGTAGCATAGCCGGCGTTGGCTTTTGCAATTCTTGTGGGTCATGAGCTTGTTCACGATGTCGTATTGTGCCGGTTCTTGTTCTCGGTGTGGCCACGTCGCCCTGATATGCTTGTCGATGCATTCCGCGTTATCCGGCTTGTGTTCGTCGCATACTTGGAACGTGATGTGCGAGTGTGGAAGTCCTCGCTTCTGTCGATTGTAGTTAAATTTTGAAAAACGTTGACATGAAAGATTTATCAAAAGCTGTAGTGTATGATGGGGTCGCATGAGTCGATGTGGTTAACAAATATTGAAGAAAAAATGTCGAACAGTGAGCTGATAATGACAGAAAGTGATTACCTTGGCGCACGCAGTATGAGGGTTTAGTCTGCATGAGGTAATATTGAAATCAACATGTGCGTATCAGAGATAGCCTTAAGGTAAAAATGAGATGAAATTATTAAGGTCATTTACAACAATCTCACCTGGAATTCCACCACTGCAATCCGATACTGTGTGGGACCGAACACGTGCGGTAGGACCTGCGTTTGGAACGTGGTGATATTTCAAGTAATATATTTCACATATGGTTAGGGATTATCCGTACGTCGTGAGACGTTCGGGTCGTCAGCTACAGTTCATACAAACAGCTTCCTGCGGTTTCCGTTCTGTTGTGAAAAACGGTTCAACTGACAATATTTCGGGTACATGAGCAACGTCGACATAAAATTGTTGCTTGCCTGTAGCAGGACGTTCAGTTTCTGCTTGAAAACACGTGCGCATAATTACTCTCCCTTCTTCCCCTCGCTCCTCGACAAGCTTTTGCTTAGACATGGGTTGTAGCGAAGGGGGGGGTCTTTGTGGCGAGCAGGGCTAGACTCACCCTCAAGGGATGACCGAAACCTTCTTGCTGCTGCGCATCCGCCGCGAGGCGTGCGTGTGGTGGTGGAGTTGGGTCGGCACTGATGGGGTCAGGCGGGAAAAT